TCTCCCTACCCCCATTGAGCTGAGGGCATTACTTTGTTGCACAATTACCTTTTCTCCTCCATTCACAAGGTTCTCGTAGCTGCTATACTTATGGGGAATGTATCTCTGCACAGCCTGATCATTTCAGATTTTAAATTTTAGTGGGACTGGGATCCTGATTAGAACTGAGCCATATCCTTTTCCTGGAATTCTAAACTTAGGAAAAAGAAAGTTGGGAAGGGAGCAAAGAGAAAAGGAAGTGGGAGAGAGAGAGACAAAGAAAGGGGGAGAAATAAAGGGGGGTGGTGGAGAGGGAGAGAAAGGAAGGGGGCGTGTATGTAGAGAAACAGGCTCTCTTGTCAGAAGAAATAATGAGAAAAGGAACAGAGTAATGAGCAAAATAGAAATTCTGAAAGTGCCCCCATGTTTGATCATGTTTATTTCTTGGGTGCAAACATACTCCTTTTTTTTTTTTTTTTTTTAGTTATGGGAGACACCTCCGTGTTTTTATAATAAAGGTTCAAATTGGATTTCTGTCACTTGCAACCAAAGTCTTGGACAACACACTTAGCTAGCACTTGGAGAAAATTACACTTAACCTGGAAGGCTATTCTATTTAGCTGAAGGAGTCTATAAATAGATTAGAAAAACAGCAAGGAGAAATCATAGATGTTTTGGATTTTGAAGGGACCTTCAAGAGCCAAAGTCTGGAGAGATAAAGTGATTTGGCCAATTACCAACATTAGCTTGCCAAATAGTCTGGTTCTTAAAGCTCTTTACTCCTTTTTGCATTGCTCAATTTCTTGTTTAATTTCCTTTTGGTCAGCTAGCTCATTCTTTGGTACTCTTTCTTTGGCTCACTGTCCTGCTGATTCTCACAGACATGTCACATATTCTCTTTCCTTGGCCCTGTGTTCAACCATTAGCTTTAAGCTGAACTTTCTTAGTGTACCCTGGACTCAGGCGTAACTGTTCTCTAATTGCTCCTCCTCTGTACTGGGTGCAAGTCACCTTAAAGAGTTTACATGAAGGGAATTTCCAATTTCCTTTTGTTGCATTAGTTGGACTTTAGAACTGTGGCCACAGAGCAAGGAAAGACGTCAGAGATATGCTCAATGCAATCAGATGTCACTTAAATATTTATAGGAGTTGTGGAGTTGTTGATAGAAAGAATAAAAAAAATATTGAGAAATAGAATGAAACCTTACACTAGGTTCATTGAATATTAATAACCTGCACTGGTGTTGTAAACTCATATCAGACCACAAAATTGGGTACTATGACATTGAATCCAAGGCTCTTGGACAGCAAAGCAGCCCACCTTTGGAAAGTGTGCTATTGGAATCTTCAGAGGTCTAGAATTGGCTTAGCAACGGCTGAGAGAATCTTATCATGAGAAAAATGTCCAGGATATTTCTAGTCCACACCCCATATTACGGGCTAAACTGTGTCACCCTGTCCTCATCAAATTCAATTTACAGTCTAAGCACTAACCACAAGCACCTTAGAATTACTGTATTTTAAATAGGGCCTTTAAAGATATAATTAACATAGACTCTAATACAATCTGATTAGTATTCTCTTAAAAAAAAAAAAAAGAAATTTTGAAACTTGGAGAAATGCCTGAACAGAGGAAAGGCCATGTGGGAAAAAAAAAAAAAAAAAAAAAAGGCAAGAGGACTACCATCTGCAAATCAAAGAGAAAGGCTACAGAAGAAACCAAACTGTCAGAAAATAATTTTCTGTTGTTTAAAGCTTCCCTACTCCTCTCTGGCCCCTGAGTCTGTGGTATTTGATTGTGGTGGCCGTAACAAATAAATACATACACCTCATAACAGAATTCAAATCTTTGTTCAATACTATCAGTATATATTCAGTTCAGAAGTGAATGTAAAAATTACTTGTGATAATTAATTTTTTACTGTCTTGAACTTGGCGTTAAATATAGAATATAGGAATAGTTTCTAAATATATTAAATATTTCAAATACCTAAACTTAAAAACACTTAAATAGCCAAAACATTTTTAATATATTTTTATTGATTTCAAAGAGGAAGAAAGGGGGGTAGAGAGAGAAACACCAATGATGAGGGAGAATCTTTGATTAAAAGGAGCCAAAACATTAAAAAAAAACAACTGGCATATTGAAGGATAGATAAACCTTTTATTCTAATTTTAAATGTGATATTTGAATAATTAATTTAGATACAATTTTAAATTGCAATTTTATAAATTTGTAAACCATATTTAAACTTTAAGAACATATGAATTATTTATAAGTTTAAAATATATAAGAAAACTTATTTATTAATTGAAATTTTGAAATCATTAGAAAATTTAATGTAATGAAGGGCATAAATAAAATTTTAAATGTTTAAAAGAATTTAGTTAACTAAACTATAGAGATCATTAAAATTACTATTAAAATTTCATCGTCTATAAGTAGAACAATATTATAATATACTTAAAGTATGTTACTAGAGTTTTCAATTTGTAAATATAATAAATTAAGTATTTATTATATTTTTAAATAATCTCAGACTTACAGAAAAGTTATAAGTACAGGCAAATAATTTTTCCCTATAATATTTATAATCTGCTGACATGATGCCCTTCCACCCCCAAATGCTTTAATATAATTCAATCAAGGACATTTTCTAATATAACCACAGCATAATCAGGACATAATTTTTTTTTTACATTAAACTAATCTAATCTTATCTTCAGAAGCCATTCAATTTTTACCAGTTGTCCTCAAATTCTTTTTATAGGATGAGGATACAACTTGGAGTCATGTGTTGCATTTGGTTACTATGTCTTTCTAATTTCCCTCAGTCTGGGATAGTTTCTCTGTCTTCTTTCATGTTCTTGACAATTTGGAAGCTCTCTGGCCAATTGTTTTATATAATACTAGAAGCCCATTGCAGGAAGATTCCTGCACTAGGGCTTCCTGCTGGGGTCGCTGCCCTGCCTGCTTCCCTCCCTTCTCCCAGGACCCAGCCCCACCTCCTACCCTCGCTTCACTGCAGCCCTGATTGCTTGCTTCTCAGCAGCTTTGCTCCCTTCTGCAGCACTTGGCTTCTTTCTATCCTGTCTTCAGTCTTTGCTCTGGCCTACATATGAAAATTAACCGCCATCTTGGTTGGGTTAATTAGCATACTTGCTCAGATTGGCTGGCGGGAAGGGCTTGTGGGTGTAGCAAAGGTATGGTCAATTTGCATGTTTCACTTTTATTAGGTAGGATTCCTGGATTGGGGTTATCTGCATTTACTCTTATTTAAGTTCAGGTTATACAACTTGGGGAGGGATATTACCAAAAAATTGCTGAATACCTCTGTTGCATTTTATTGGTTAGAGAGGAAATTTAATTCTCCTCAATATCGATCATATTGTCTTCAATCACTTACTGAAAGCAGCATCTTCCAGGCTTTTCCATTGTTCCTTCTGTAACGAATAGGCATTTTGTGGGGAAATACTATCTAAACATCAAACTTTCCATTTATTCATTTATGTGCATCAGAATGGACTCAGGGTTTCTGCTTTTATGCCTTTTGTATCATTATTTATTTTAATACTCAAGCTGCCCCAGATTGTACAGTGAAAACCCTTTCAACCTGGGTTCTGTGTCTTTTTGAAATCCCTTCATTTTTTGAGAACATCTTTGCTTTCTGGCACAAAATCAATATTCCTGACTCATATTTTCTCTGCCTCAACCTGGAGTCAGTCATTTCCCCAAAGATCTCTGCTTCCTTTTTAAAAAAATATATTTTATTGATTTTTTAGAGAGAGAAAGGGAGAGAGATAGAGAGCTAGAAACATCGATGAGAGAGAAACATTGACCAACTGCCTCCTGCCCACCCCCACTGGGGATGTGCCCGCAACCAAGGTACATGCCCTTGACTGGAATCGAACCTGGGACCTTTCAGTCTGCAGACCAACGCTCTACCATTGAGCCAAACCGGTTACGGCATCTGCTTCCTTTTGGTTGAAAGTGTTGAGAAACTGAAATATGGGTGCTAGCTTGGTGTGCTCTCCCCTCCGCACCCTCATGTGTCCTGTATCTGTATATCGAAAATGATGAGACCACATCAATACATTCAGTTCTAATTTAATACCACTCTACTCTCCCAAACTGGGATCTGACACCTCTTGCCAGACCATTTCATCCCCCATAAATACACTCTTTTCACCTCATTGAAACTCTGAACATTCTGCTCTGAGCTCTCCCTCCCCAGATTTCCACTTTGTTTGTCCTCACCCAATTGCCTTAATACTGGATTGTTTAGAAAGGAGAGAGGAGAGACTGGGAAGAAAAGCAAGAACCAAAGATTAAATTTAAATCACAGGTGAACTCTGAATAATATCTTCTCTGCAGGTTTCCATGAAGAAAATGTGATATTTTTCTCTTACAAAGTCCTTGTCTCTCTGCAACCTTCTGATTTCCTTTTCTTAGCTTCCTTGTCCTGGGGTTCATATTATCCAGCACTAACACATATCTAGCGCTTCCATTCATTTTATGCATCATCTCATGGGATATTTCAGATTTAATTTACTCATTTGCTGTTATGGAAAACCCTTTATTTATATTTTCTTTATGCCTGTCCCTATGTGTGACCCATATTCTATTTTATTTTATGACTTTATGGCATAAGGATTGGTCCACTAAATTTGGCACAGTAGGACCTGAAACATTTTTATTTTGGAAAATCTGAGCTACAAAAATGTGTCACTAATTACAATATCCTTGAAGTCACAACAAGAATTCCTCCCATAAAGTGTTGCAATCAGCCTCAGTGCTCAGGGGCGGGGAAAAAAAGTTAGAAAAACCTCAAATTATATTAACAGGCTATCTGTACAATAAAAAGGTCAATATTACAGTTTCCTTTCTAATTTCTTTATTAATTTTTAATATTTTAAATTGCCTTCCAGCTATAGGGCTCATTAATTATTCTGATTTGTTTCTGGTTACAGGTTTCATTTAAATTCAGTGAGCAATTAGGGAACCATCTAACACGCGGCAGTTAAGTCTTTCTTCTGGAAACGTGGTCAAAAATGACAGCTTGTATGTAGAGCTCTGTCTGGATAGGGATTCTAGTAGAGTTGTCACCTGGTAAAGCCTAAAATACAGAAATTGCATTGTTAATCAGTCCACTCCGTGCAAATAATCGGCACATTTTCTTCTTGCTTCAATGGTGTAGCAAGCAGACCTAATAAGGCTGTGGCAATGGAGACCTCTCCATGTTTTTCCTCAGATACATTTTTCTGGGGAGCAGTGATAACTCCACTTAAGAGCTTTGAGGCTCTGGGTTGTGACATTACTGAAACGATCTAGGATCAAAGCAGGGTCCGAGGCTCATACTTGTCTAGACTCTGCTGAACACTATGGGTCACTAACTCTGCAGAATTCTCAGGGAAGGGCTTTGCAAATACATGAGACCACAGGTTAACAAGTAAAAAATAATCCTATTTTAATTTCAAGTAATACAAATGTCTCAAGTTTGGAATGGATTCAGACTCGGGAAAGTAACCTGTCCAGGTGGGTTTAATGAAAAGGTTCTTAACACTTTAAAAACAATTGTTATGCTTTTCCCCCCTTCAAATTATACTCTTTGAAAAAAGATTTGTTCCTTCTCTGTTTATTCAGTATTGTCTATCATACTTAAAGCCACCTAGAGAGCTCCTGTGGGAACAAATATTCACTGATGTGGTATTGATAAGACAAAAGAGAGAGGTACTAAAAGGAGTAGACAATATCTATAATTGGAAAATTATTAGTCATTAGGCCTTTGCTCTAATGGAGGTACAAAAGAATAATCTTACTTGCCCTCTCTTTTTCTCTGTAGGAAGAGATGATAAGATGATCTGGGACTAGAGAGGAGCTTTTGTATTGCTTTTTCCCAATAGTACCTAATTTTTGTGCTAGCTGAGAAAGAATATATTAGATCCATCTTTTATTAAATAAGTCAGTAAAATTGCAAAGACTTTGAAATAGGTTAAAAAAAAAACGGATGTCCTGAGTGGCTCATCCATCCACATCTTTTCAGCCTTTCATCGTTTTTGTACTATTTTACAACTTTTTAAGTTGTAGAAAACTGATGAGAAGGCCAAATATTCTTGTCTGCAAATATGCAAATGAATTGTGCCTACTGGAATGCAATTAATTATTGCTCCGTATTGGGACCTGCTTTGCATTTATTTGTAAGTCAATTTCATTTTTTTAAAATTTCTCATATATGTTATGCTCTTTGAATCCTCCTTTGAAATATTTGTACTATCTTACTGGTTCCCTTCATAATTATTAAATTAAATGCAACCTTTGGGATATTCATTTTATATCTGTGTGAGAGTCACAATTATATCTTTTTAGGAAAAATAATCTTGCAAACATTGTGGAAACTCCACGTAGTGTCCAGTGGCTTCTCTGGTAGTTGGGAGTTTGTATTGCTGGGGGGTTGTTGCGTTTCCTGGAAGACTTCAAGCCAAGCATTTTTTCCCTCAGCTCCAAGAGGTAAATTCCCAGGAGCAACAGAACTTTTGCTTTATTGTTTCTCTGTTTCTTTACATATTTTCATTTTTACTATTTTTTTTTGTGTTGTGAACTCTACTTCACAACAACTTTTACAATCAACAAATTATTCCCCATTTGGTGACAGCAATGATTTGGAATTTGGTTTTATGGTCTAACCTTTGTGATCTCTGTAAACGAATGAATAGATCATATTTATTCTTTCTTGGATGAGAGACAACAGAGACTATGATTTATTAATATTTTCTTTTCTTTGTTTATTTGTCTACTTGTCTACATGAGCTCTTGTGCCCACTAGCAAAAAGAACAACTTTTTGCAATATGGGGCGTTAATTTTTATGTGTTTACTTTTTAGCAGTGGCTAATGTTTAGATCTGAAGATATAAAGCTCTCTGGGTGACTGTGTGTGGACATTTTTCAGGCCTTTTTCTTTATTTGGTTTGTTTGTTTGTTTGTTTGTTTTATTGTTTCTCAGAATCCTTGTACAATCTTGGTATTTACCAAGGACCCCATAAAACTTTTCATGCAGTATAACAACCAGTATGATAGCCAAAGATTTTCTAATTTTTATATATAGAATACTTAAAATGTAATAGAAAACAAACACCTACTAAAACTCTATAGAAAAGTGTATAGGTGGCAATAATTACAGAAGAAACATAATATAGTAACAAGTAACATGCATATGGAAAAAATGTTCATCCCTAACAATATTAAAAATGCACATTTAAATGACCTCAAATAAATTTGGACTATAAAATGAACAACATTAAAAAATATGCAAAATAGCCGAAACCGGTTTGGCTCAGTGGTAGAGCGTCGGTCTGTGGACTGAAAGGTCCCAGGTTCAATTCCGGTCAAGGGCATGTACATTGGTTGCGGGCACATCCCTGGTAGGGAGTATGCAAGAGGCAGCTGGTCGATGTTTCTCTCTCATCAACGTTTCTAGCTCTCTATCCCTCTCTCCTCCTCTCTGTAAAAAATCAATAAAATATATTTTTAAAAATATGCAAAATAAATAGGGCATGGTGATTGAGCAGTCTTATTTCAGGAATACGTAATTATAAATGATATGCAACTGCAAAATAATTTGACAATATATTTCTAAAGCTTCACAAAGTTTATACTTTCTAACTGACCAAGTTACACTTTAGTAATTTACCTTAAAGGGAAAAAAAGAACACTGAAACTATAGAGAACTATTCTTTAAATTTGGGGAGAAAAACAGAAATCAACCTAAATGTCCATCAATTAGAAATTCTTATATATACTATGATTACTCCAGGATTGAATGTTATTTACATTGTTGTACAGCTAGTTTTTTCACTTGATAGTATATCCTAAACATCTCTTCATACCCATATATCAACTTCAGTAAATACACTTGGAACACATTTTTAAAACTGCTGCATAGTATTTAAATGAGTGAATGTGTCATAATTTATTTTTATTATTTCCCACTCATGGACTTACACATAATTTCCAGTTTTTAACTATTGCAGTGAAAGATGATATCCTTTTAGAACTTTCATTGTTTCTGAGTTCATAGATCACCAGGAACCAATATTCATTCATCGAACACTACTCAATGGCACATTAAACAAATTCTTTCATTTCATCTTCACAGCAACTTTTTATAAAAGGATTGTTTTTTACAGAGTTTATAGATGAGATAACAGGCGGATAAGTGTTCGAAGAGGTTTAGGAATTTTCCTTAAGATCTATTTAACTCCAATGCATTTTACCTATTGCCCCTCTTAAAAAGCAGCTTTTCCCTGCCTGGGTCCTGCCTGCTATCCCCACCATTTGCTACTTCTCCTGTTGCTCTTCTAGCCTCTTTCAGCTGCTCGCATGTATTTTGGGGATTCCTGAGGTCTTCATTTCTCCAGTGGAATTCATTAAGAGACTTAAGCAAGTCTTTGAATATCCTAAAACATTATTATATTACTCTGTTTGTATGGCCATGTATGCATTTTCTTTTTTGAGAAAATCCATAAAGCATCAGATTTTTAAAGTAAGCTGCATTTCCCAAAAGGTTAAGATCCTATCATCTGGAATCTGGAGCAGCTGTGTGTGTCTGTGAGGTAGTTTTCTGGGCTCCCCGGTTGGGGCTGCAATCTGTTTTACTGTGTGTGTGTGTGTGTGTGTGTGTGTGTGTGTGTGTGTGTTGCCATAGCTCTTTGAGGCAATACGCATTGTGGAGGCCACTGGGTTTATACTGAAGATATTGCAGCCAGCAATAACCACTTAGACACTTTCAACATGAGATTTTCCTGTCTTGCCATTGGCCTTGATCACTGATCAGGCTATTATGTTCCATGTTGCAGTATACTTCAACATCCTTCCCCTTGCTTTGGGATTTCAGAAATTGCAAGCACCTGCTGGGGTGGTGAATGGTTAGGAAGGAATCATGGGAGAGGACAGCTTATTCAGCAGGAGAAATCCTGCTCTCCTTGAATTATAAATAATCCCTTAACTGTGGTCTCACACGCGCAGTGACTTCATCCCTGACTTGTGTTTTTTAGTGCCTGCTTCTTCGTCATTAGTCATTACATCTTTGAAATCATGGAGGAAACAATTATTTGATTTTTTAATCTTTAATTTTTTATTTCAATTAAATATATTGGGGTAACAATGTTAATAACATTATACAAGCTTCAGATGTACAGCTTTATAATACACATCTGTATACACCATTGCTTTTAGTCGATCATTTCATCCACTAGGAAAGTAACCTTCCCTTGTCTCTCTCACTGCTTGTCCTTATTTGTGAGGAAAATTGCATGAAATTGAGGCTACTCTCTATTTCTCAAATTCTTTTGTTATCATTTCCCTAGTTTATATTGATTCCTTTTACCTTTGGTATGATGTTTGATTAGGTTGCCCTTTTAAATAGAAGTGTAAAGCAATAATTGTTCTTTGCCATGAATATGGTATTGATATTCTATTTACTGCAGATATTTGATGTGGATGGTGAAAAGTTATCATTAATAATCTTTATTACTAACCATGGACATACATCTAGTAATTCAAACTTATGTATTTAATTTTTTTCTTTCCTCCAGCTCACCTTTCCTACACTGCACTTCATATATGAATTCATACATTGGACACTTAACAATGTGCTTATCTCTAGGGATTGTTCCATACTATTGCATATAAAATAAAAATCAGTTTTATAGGTCAAGAGGAGGGCATAGCATTTAAGTGTTAGGAGATTTAATTCATAAAAGCCATGCTCTGCTAATGTATTTTTTGATGGATTCCTTAAGGCCATCGATTTTAGCAGCAGTTAGTTGAGTAAATACTTAATTTACATGTGGTGGATTTCCAGTTCAGGTATCCCAGGTGATTGCCCAGGGGAGAAAATGTGTAAAGGCTTCTTAGTATGTGGGTGTTTTAGGGCTGTAATTAACCAAACATTCAGTAATTTGGGCAGCAAAACCAGAAATTTGGCAAGGCCTCAGCTTTCTTAATAACTGTGACTATGCCACAGTTAAAAAGCACCATTTACAAGGGCCTCCGAGGAAAATCCAGGAACCAAAAAAGTAGTGTTGGTGACTCAGTAAGTGTCCCCTGCCCCTTGCATGG